AATTTTTTTTACTCTTGCTTTTCTCATTTTTAAAATTTTATTCCCAGTTCTTTGATCTGTTATTTCTCTTTTGTTGATGAAAATGGTTTGGAGATACAAATTCTCTTCTATGGACTACTTTGGCTATATCCAGGGGTGTACTAGAGCTAGCTCAAACCAATTCAGGACAGCCAATTGTTAAATTTTAAGCGTGAGCATTTATACCTCAGAAATCTGCAAATGTTACAAACCAGGGTTTGAATTATTGTTTTGTTTACTTTCTGTACTCAAAAAGTGATGGAGAAATTTTTAATAATTCAGATTAAACTTAAAATTATATCATGCACACATCTTTTTTAATTAAATTTATTTTTTTCAAAAGCTGGTTGTTAGAAGTTAATCAGCATACCACTGACTATATTGGCTAGCATTTTTTTTTGTGGGGGTGGGGCTGATGGGGTTTCCCCAAGTCGAGATCCTCACCCTTTGCCCCAAAAGGAATCTGGCTCTACAGGCGCCAGCTCCTTATTTCCCTTTGAAAGCTTTAGCTTATTCAGATGCGCCTTCCTCCCTAGTCCTAAAAAGAACCTGGCTCCCATTTGTCTATGGGTCCCAGAAAAACCCTTAAACTTTTAGGCTCCTTATCTACTTTCTTTGTCTCCCTTTGAAAGCAAACTCCTACCTCCCAGTTCCCTTCATTATCTATTCCCATTGTTTATTCAATCTCTTAGACCTTCCAAATGGAATTCTCACCTAGACCCTTTTCCCAACCACCCCCCTCCTTCCTCTGGCTACCCAGTTATTTTAGTATATAAAAGATCCACCTTGGCCTCCATTCAGATGTTGAGACTTTCTCATGCCCAAAAGGCTGAGACTGTATCATGCCCACTCATCCTTATGGGCATCACCTGGCCTATATGTTTTATCTCTAACAAACTTTTTCTGTGGCTGGAAGAAGATTTGAGTTGAATTCTTTCAGGCAGGGCTCAGCTCCATGATGTTGGGGTTTCCCCAAAACCTCTAGACCTCTTCAGGGTAGGATAGAGTTGATCATAATTCAGCTTGATGCTTCAGGAAGCTTCTCAGTATTTCAGCAGGATCACCAGTTGGGTGTGCCAGGGTGTATTTGCAGTGCACTATTTCCCAAGGCCACCTTCTTTCTCCATGTCTCCTCCCAGCATGCAACTGGAAGCCCAAGAGATCAGCCACCCACTATTTCCAAAGGTTTGTCTTATGTTCATCTCACATCCTACTCTAGGTGACCCAGTCAAATGCCTTTATCTTCTGGCATAGCAACCATAGCTTAAGAGTCAGGTAGGAAGACTAAGCATCTGAAAATCCCATATGGCAAGATCAAGAACAAAAGTCAACCAAAATGACATATACAGAAAAAAGAAGAGACAATAATTAGGACCTTCATTAATTATTTGTGCTTATGATGAAGATAAAGATAAAAAGAGATTAGGCTTGTCCTCAGTCCCTAGTATGTAATGCAAATAATGCTTCATCTTGTGATAAGTGTAGTTGCAAAGTGGGGTACCATAGGGAAGATTTTTCCTCTGCAGATATCTTTACCCACTGATAAGCTGCTGCTAAGATAGATAGATTTAAGTGGGGAATCAAAGTATACAACAGATAAAAAAATCCAACACAACACATAGAGTCCACATTGAAGATAATCTACTTTCTACTTGATCCTGAACAGCCTTACAAAATATGTCTAGTCTAGAGGATTTTGATGGATAAAAGAGCTGACACTGAAGCCAGGAAGAAGTGCAAGTCCCTCTTCTGACACATACTGGTTGTGTAGTCCTGGGCAAATCACTCAACCTCTCTGAGCTCTATGAAGCTTTATAAGTTTCTCTACATTGTTAGAGAGATTTACCTCATCTGAGAGTTTTCTATACCAATGAAATCACAAGTGTAGTCCCTATCCCTATTCTGCTTCACATTCATAACCTCTGTCTGCTCATCACCTTGAACTGACTAAGGAATACAATAGCAAAATAGTACCACTGGGTTTGAGATTTCCATTCCTAGAGCTGATATTAATATGCCTCCACCTCCTGTTCTGTGCCTAATGCTGAGTGTAGAGCATGTCTTCGTTTATTTAAAAAAAATTCTTTATGTAACAATGGGGAAAATTAAGGGAAAGAAGAGAATAGATGAGAAGGAGGTGAATGGAAGAATCTGTGGGTGTTTGCAGGCATCTGAATGCTCTAAACTCCTTTCTCTAATGGGGAGAAATCAGGACAATTGCTTCCATCTCTAACTTGGAATTATGGGAGATGGATATTCTATGTAAGGGGGGAGTTGGATCATCTCACTAAATCTGATCTGATCTCATGAGCACATCAAACAGTCTCATTGCCCTCAGCCATAGTCATAGTAACTGTGCCCACTGCAGCAGTTGGATGCTAGGAAATAGAATGCCTGCACCTGAAAGTTCTGGCCACACATCCCCAAGATGGAGGGGGAACTCTGAACTTCCAATCTCAACCCAGTTTCTTCCCTTCCAGAGTCTTTTACCCATTTCCATAGTGAATGTGGGTGTATTCTGGGGAAGTTTTCTCCATTTCCAGGGGAATTGCATTACATGCTTCTATTGCCAACTTAAGTCATTTATTTCTTTGCACTAAATTAGAGCAAATTTTCAGGCTTGTATTCCAATGAACTGTAATGTTCTTTAACTTCAATGTTCAAATTCTTACATTTAAGAAGGACTCAGGTTCAGACAGTATTTGTGGATACTGACAAAGATGATATCTACAACCATGTAGAGCAAGGCAGACCTACACAAGCATCCTAGAAATCTCTTCTAAGTTCTCCCAGCCATTTAATGCCATTAGCTCTATTTAAATATAAATTAATTAAGTGGCAAGATATAATAATCCACTTCCCCTCCCCCCATAGTTGACAAATTGTCTGTCATCTGTCTGGGTTGCCTCATGCCCCTCAGTCACCTCAAATTCTCCTCCTACATCTTTTCCTGTGATTTTTCTTCCTCCTCTTCCTTCAAAGTGATAGACTGAAAAATGCCTTCTCCTTCAGCTGCAATTTGGTTCCTATCATGTCACAAGTTTGTTCATTTGGCTCTAGGCTCCCATGACTTTGCCAGAGAGGCTACTTCCCATAAATATGACTGGAAAGTGAGCTGAGTAAGCCAGCCCCTGCTAGGGGCTGGTCTCTGGTTGCTTTGCTCCTTTTATTTAAGAAAATAAAAAAGAATGTTTCTTTCCTTCACATAGTAGTTTAGTTTCATGGGGCCATTAGCAAATAATAAGAATCTCATTTAGACCCAAAACAAATCCTCATTTGCAAATTCTTAGTACAAGTCCTGCAAAAGATTAGTATGGTACCCTTCCCTAAGTTGTAAAATAAAGGGATTAAATAGGAGTTTTCTATGTGCCCTCTAGCTCTAAATCTTATGATCCTATCAAAAATATTCTTTGCATAATAGAATATTAAAGTTGAAAGGAAAATAGTAAAGCCATTTGTTACTGTTCTGTAGTTTCAGTCACGTCCAACTCTTTGAGACCGCATTGGAGTTTTCTTGGCAAAGATACTGGAATGATTTGCCATTTCCTTCTCCAGCTCTTTTCCAGATGAGGAAATAGAGGCAAAAAGGGTTAAATGACTTACCCAGAGTCACACAGCGAGTAAGTGTCTGAGGCCAGCTTTGGACTCAAGACTTCCTGACTATAGGCCTAGTGCTCTATCCACTACACCACCTAGCTGCCCTAAAAGCCACTCCTCACCCCTGCAATGGAGACAGTATGATGTAATGGGAGGAGCAGTGGGCCTATATCCAGAGGATGAAGGTTTGCATCCTGGCCCTGCCACTTTCATCTTAGGTGACCTTTGTCAAGTCACTTTTCCCCTATTTGTCTTCAATTTCCATTATCTGTGCAGGTCTTATAAGTTCTGACAATTCTTATTCTGACTACCACTCTTACTGGAAATCCAGGTTCCCAGAACAAGAATCTATCTTCCCCTTAGGATTTTAGAGGTACCCCTAATAGGTTAGGAGTGTCTTTCTAAGGTCATCAGGTTAAGGCCCCATTGTGCAGTATTCTGCAACAAAATTAGTCACCAGTTATACTTAGTATTTCCCTTTCATCACTGATTTGACTCAGTGATTAACACTTTTAGTATCATTTAACCAATTAATATTAACTAACTTTTACAAAAGGATATTGATTGAGAAGATATAGTAAGAATGAAAATATGAATCTATTCTCCCACCAGCCCTACCAGTTGGGAACACACTGTCTTTGATACCACTCTGGTCTCTAAGAAGAGTAGACTCAAGGTTTAAGAACCTAGAGCATTTGTTATACAGTTGTTTCAGTCATGCCTGACTCTTTGTGACTCACTTTGGGGTTTTCTTGGCAAAGATTCTGGAGTGGTTTGCCATTGCCTTCTCCAACTCATTTTACAGATGAGGAAACTGAAGCAAACAGGGTTTAATGATTTGCCCAGGGTCACATAGCTAAGAAGTGTCTGAGGCCACATTTGAACTCATGTCCTCATGAGTCTTCCTGACTCCAGGCCAGGCACTCTATCCACTGTGCCACCTAGCATTTGCTACAAAGCATTTGCCCCATCAAAATCACTTCCAAATGTTAGCACTGATATGGAACAAAGTTGCTCCAGAAAATAGCATCTCAGCTACTGGATCAAACCTAGGCTGCTAGGTTGGGTCTGGAAGGTCATTTCTTGAAGTTGCGTGGGTAGTACGCTCTGACATGAACATTCTGTCCCTGGACCTTTTGAGATCTCACTAAATTACAACCCGGTTTTCTCCATCTCCAGCAGTCATTCATCAATGAGCAGGAAAGAAGAAATTCAAATATGCAAACAAACAGGGACATAATATTCCCTCACGGTCACATGTTAGCTTTGGAAAGACAGGCAGAGCTGGCAGCAGCAGGCTGCAGGAACCACTCCTCCTGCTTCTCCCTCCCCAGCCCACTCCCTGGGTCCTTGCCTTGATTACCACTAGGAAAAAGAGAGTAGGCTTACTGTGTCCCATTAGTGCCTTTTCAATGTTCAGTCTTTTCTGGCTCAGGAGCCAGTCATAAACTCTTTTCTTCCCTACAGGAAGCAGTTATTGAATGCCTATGCATGTTCCAGAGTCCATATGGGGGAGTTGCATCTGGTAGATCCTGCTGCGAATGATCATCAGGACAAGGATTTCGTTGGTTAGTCCCCCCCCATTACGGCTATAAAATTAAGGGACTGGACTTGATGATTCTGAAGACCCTTTCATCTCTCTCTGTTTCTCAAATGTTCTCATCTGAAAAATAATACTTATACTTATAACGACCTTCGTCTTGGGGATACTTTGAAGAAAGTCCTTTGGAAATTAAGTGCTATATAAATATGAGATCTTTATTATTATTGCTATCATAACAATCATTGTTATTACTACGTTGGTTTCAGATAAGACTATAGTTTTAAACCATTCCAGGAATATGGATTATGTCTTGATTTTCAGTGTTCTGCGAACTTGTTGTGATGAATATTATTCATTGTATTCCAGATCTTTTCTGTTGCAGTTTAAATTTTTCTTTTTCTAGATGAAGTTTAAAGTTACTTTCCTTAAACAATGGTTGTGAGGGATTGTCTGATGTTGGCTACGTGCCACGTGGGGGTTGTGGCAAGATGGGGCAGGGACAAGATATTAGGAAGTAACCGGAGCTCACGCTCCCAAGGCAGGGGGCTGTGCCATGTGGAGTTGTGGTGAACTGGGGTAGGAACAGGACACAGGGAAGTAGCCGGAGCATGTGCTCCTGAGGCAGAGGGCTGTGCCACGTGGGAGTGGGACTGCAGAGAACGAGCTCCCTTTGTCTAGTCCTCTCCCTAGGTGCAGCGCTAACCGCAGACGTCTCCTTCCAGTATCTGATCCTACAATCATTCACTGGTAGGTGGGCTGAGGAGGAGGGGCTAGCAAGGTATGTAGGGGCGGTAGGGGTCGGAGCTTGCTCTCTCTTGCTCTTGCTTTCCTGCTTGGCCTTGCTGTGATGGCCTCTGAATAAAGTTCGAGTGTTTGCACCTCCTGATCGGCTCGTCTCTATGTTTATCTGGGTGGGCTCCGAAGACTGGTAAGTATGACCCTGGCAGCCTGCTCCTGTTAGAAGGAGAGTGCATGGCGCGACTGGCACAAATGGTGTTCTCATGCTAGCTTTTGGCTAAATTAAAATTTTGTTTTTTCCTCCACCTAGGTCCCTACTCGAGATGCCACAGGGTATCTTTAGTTTGTTCATGATATTGAGACAAGCCTCTTATATTCACAGATTTAGAGTTGGCAGTAAACTTAAAGGTCCTCTAGTCTAATCCCTTCCTTTACAGATGGGGAAAATGAGGCCTAGAAATGTTAAGTAACTTGCCCAAGATCACTGAGGTAGTAAGCATCAAAAGTATGACTTGAATTCAGGTCCTTGGACCCTAGAATCCATGCTCTTTCATTGTTTCCTGCTGCCTTTCTCAAACAAATAATCAAATCAGTCAATCAATAAACATTAATTAAGGTCCTATGTGAGCAACTAGGTATCACAGTGGATAGAGTACCAGGCTTGAAGTCAAGAAGACACATCTTCATGAGTTCAAATCTGGCTGAAAACACTAGTTGTGTGACCCTGGGCAAGTCACTTAACACTGTTTACCTCAGTTTCCTCATTTGTAAAATGAGCTGGAGAAGGAAATGGCAAACCACTCTAGTATCTTTGCCAACAAAACCCCAAATGGGATCATGAAGAGTCAGACATGACTTAAATGACTAAACAAAAAAAAAAAAATGTGCCAGGCAGTGTGCAAAGCTCTAGGGATGCAGAAAGAGGTGAGAGATATTCCCTGCTGTCAAGGAGCTTAAAATATGATGATCAAAAATCAAAGTCATTCTCATTGACATTCATTTGGAAAACAAGCCACAACAGTCATGGTCTCTTGATGGTGATATATAAGGAGTAGAGAGGGAAGGAGTACAGAACTTAAGAAAAGGAGCTTTTAATCCTCTCTAATACTTACTAGAGCTATGACCTGGGCAAATCACTTTACCTCTCCTGGTCTCAGTTCCCTCATCTATAAAATCTGGACACATACCACTTATTCCACAGGTTTGCTGTGAGAAACTTCCTTAGTTAGTCTCAGAGAGCTAGAGGAATGTGAAGAATTATTATTATTAGACATATTGTTTAACCATTGTCTAAGGTGCTGGCAAAATGTATTCCTTTAGAAGAAAAATAAAAATCTCTTTCCCAAGGAATTGCTGATATGAAAATAAAAATGTGCCTGCAAAGCTGAAGGGGAGGACTTAGTTACTAAATTAGGTTGTTACATTTTGTTTTAAGTAAAAAGTTCATGGTGCATGATGTGGTAGGGAGTGGGTAAAATTATGTGTTTTTAAAAAGCTATTATTTTTAAGCCTCTGGCAATTTTGTCTAAGCCTAAGTCAAGCCACCCTATGAAGCTACATTTTTATTAGGCTCAGAAATACCCCGAGCTTTTGTGCAGACAATTCTATGCTTTTAGAAGTAAAGTAGCTGCCATTTCAATGTACTTACAGTTTAAAGGAATGTAACAGTGAATTGGGTTCATTTCTCCATGTATTGCTAAGTGCAGTTCTGGGACAAGTGAATGCACTCAGCACTATAGAATCCAATGGCTCTGCCTCATACACATGACTGCAGAGCTGCAAAAGCACTTACTGAGAAAGGTTAGCTTTTTTATTCCCTAAAGCATCCCTTTAAGAAGTCCTACTGAGCCTGGAAAGTTGGAAAGTCTAATAGAAGCCATCTTGGCAAATAGTGTGATGATATGAAGATTGTTTAAATAATTGAGGGAAAGAAATTAGGAATGCCTCGGGAGGTCAGATGGTGTAGTGGACAAGAAATCAAGACACTTTGGGTTGGTCCTACCTTGGTGCCTGAGCGCAAGTGACCTCATCTCTCTACCATAGAGCATTATCTCTGAGGTCTCTTTCAACTCTGACAGTCTCTGTTCTATGTTCTAAGACCCCATCCAGCTCTGATTAGTCTATATTCAAAGACCCCTTCCAGTAGTGACATTCAATGTTCCATGTTTTAAGATTCCTTCCAGCTCTGACACTGTGTAGTCTATAATTATCTCCAACTCTAACAATCTATGTTTTGGGTTCTAGAACTCCTTCCAGCTTGAACAGGCAATGTTCTGAGATCTTTTCTAGATCTGAAATTCTATGCTTCATGTTCTAAAACTTCTAGCTTTGCATGATGCCCTCAGGAAAACCTGGAAATGAACTGATGCAAAGTTAAATGAGCAGAACCAGGATAACATTGTACATAATAACAGTGATACTATATAATTATCAGTTATGAATGACTTAGCTATTCTAAGCACTACAATGATCCAAAACAGTTCCAAAAGACTCATAATGAAAAATGCTATCCAGAGAAAGAACTGGTGATGTCTGATGCAGATTGAAGCACACTTTTTTTTAACTTTACTTTTCTTGTTTCCTTTTTTTGTCTGTCTTCTTTCACAATGTGACTAATAAGAAAATATGCTTTGTATGACTGTACATTTATAACCTATATCAAATTGCTTGCCTTCTTAATGAGGAGGGAGGAGAGGGAAGAAAGAAGGAATTTGAAACTTAAATTTTTAAAAAACAAATGTTAATTCTTTTTACATGTAATCGGGAAAAATAAAATATAAAATAAAAATGTATTTTTAAAAAACTTGTAGCTCTAACTAACGGATATTTTTGGGGGGTGAGGCAGTTAGGGTTAAGTGACTTGCCCACTAGTAAGTGTCAAGTGTCTGAGGTCAAATTTGAACTCAGGTCCTCCTGACTCCAAGGCCAGAGCTCTATCCACTGCGCCACCTAGCTGCCCCCTAATGTATATTCTAAGACCCTTTCCAGCTCTGACATTCTAAGTTTCAATTTCTGAGATCCCTTCTTTCTTTAAAATCTATGTTCTCAAGTTCCTTCCAGTTCTCAGATGTTACATTCCATGTTCTAAGGCTGCTTCCAGTTCTATATTCATTTTATATGTTCAAAAGTCCCTTCTACTAACATCTACCCATGTCACTTTCACAGACCCCTGGGGTGATAACAGGACATTTGAAGACAATGAAATCTAAAAACATCTAAAGGGCAACAGAGACTAGAGCAGGAATGAGCAATTAAAACTTGGAGAGGACAAAATATGATAATTCTACTTTGTGTTTTATAAGAGAGTTATATGGAAAACAATCATACATTCGATATTCAATTTTTTTCTAACAAATCCTAAAATCTTGCAAGAATTATGTATTGCAAATGGATTGAGTATGCTGACTTTAATATTTAGCACCCTCATTAATGAGAAGGATCTCAGGCAAGATAATCAACATTTTAGTTAATAAATTGGAAAGCACTCTAAAGACCTAGATTTTAAGTCAAAGGAGGTGGGTTCATTCTTCCAAGAACTATCTGAAGCTGAAATGCCAGGATGGTGTGCAGGGTTCTAAAGGGGTGTGTGTTTGTGTGTGGGGGGGATATACATATAGTGTGTGTGTGTATATATATATATATATATATATATATATATATACACATATAGTGTATATATATGTCATATAGATATTGATATCTATATGGATATAGATATACATATATACCCTTGTCTACTCCAAAAGAGACTAGAATCCTCAAATTTCATTCACAGAAGGAGACTTGGAATATAGAGCATAGAATGTGAAACATGGAATGTAAGATACAGAAAGAACCCTAGAACATAAAATATAGATTGTCAGAGTTAGGATGGAGCTTAGAACATAAAATAGAGAATATTAGAGCTGGAAAGAACTTTAGACTATAGAATGTTAGATCTAGAATTCAAGTCAATTTAGCAGATCTATATTGAGCACCAACTTTGTTCAGAACAATTTGCTAATACAAAGATATAACCTTTAGCTAAGACAAGGTACATTGAATTTATTATTTATTAAATGAATATAGAATGTGGGTCTTTTAAGTAAATGACCTTAGAGCAGAGAGGACTTTTATTTCCCAAGATGTACTCTACTGGCTTACTTCTTCTTTCCACACTACATCTTTTAGCTATGGGAGTCTGCCCTGGCTGTACCTAATGTCTGGAATACTTTCCCTCCTTGACTCTACCTCCTTGCTTCCTTCAAGTCTCAACTCACATTCCACCTTCTGCAGGAAGTCTTTCCCAGTTTTTCCTTCCTCACCCTCTGTGTTTTTGTCTTAGATTACCTTCTATTTACTCAGCAAAATGAAGGGTTTAAATGAGATTATTTCCAAAGTTTCTTCTATTTCTTATTTTAGGTTCCTAGAATCTAATCCAACTCTTCATTTTACAAAGGAGAAAACAGGCCTACATAGGGGAAGTAATTTGTCCAAAGTCACACAGAATTTTAGGGATGGAGCCAAGACTGACACCAATTGTCTCCTGACTCCCGATTCAAAGCCTTTCCCACTGAACTGCACTGTCTCTTGGTTTGCAGATATCAAGCAATTAGCTGGGTGCAATGCTGGATATAGTGTTGGACCTAGAGTCAGGAAGACTTGAGTTCAGATCTGGCCTCAGATAACTTACTAAATGTGTGACACTGGGCAAATCACTTAACTGTTGTTTGCCTCTGTTTCTCAATTATAAAATGGGGATAATAATAGCATTTCCCAGGGTTGTTGTAAGAATCAAGTGAGATATTTGTAAAGTACTCAGCATAGTCTCTGGCACATAGTAGGTGCTTAATAAATGCTTTTTATCATCCTTATTATTGGAGAAATCTCTGAATCATAAACTCATGAATTTAGAACTGGAAAGGACCTGCATAATCCCTGAGTCCAGTAACTTCATTTTTGAGGCTTACTGAGGCCTATAGAGAGGCTGACTGATTTACCCAAGGTCATACTTATTAGTGATACCTGGAAATTGAACCTAGGTCTTCCACCTCCCATGGCCTTTGCACTGTACCATACTGCTTCTAATCATTTCATGTCTCTTTCTGTCTGACATTTTTTGCTTACTGTTTTGGTGGTTTTTTTAAATGACATAATTTATTTCCCCTTGCAGTATCTTAATCTGATTATCCAGACCAGTGATTCCCCGTCTTGTTGTTGTGGTACTCAGTCATGGATTAATTTTTTGAACAATCTTCCACCAGCCTTTCTCAAAGTACTCTATGGTATACTTCTACACACACATACACATAAACATTTGTATTGTATGATATACAAATATATACACATAAACATCTCATGCACGTGTCTTTATGTGTGTATGTATATTTTTGTAATCAAAGTGAATTAACACTGAATTTGGAGCATTTCAGAACATCCCTGGAGATAATTAGAGACATCCTGAGGCACTGTAAAACTAATTGAGACTCACCAATGCAGATGATTTTATTATCTTGATGAAGCAAACAGCATGTCATTAATTTCTTATTGGCTTTTTACTTAGCCTTCCAAGTTTTTCTGTTTCTCAAATTCTCAAATGGGGTGTAGGGGAGTACAGGTGAGAGGATCCAGACCTCAGGACACTCTAAGATCAGTAGTCCCCCCTCCCCCATGGTCTTCTCACTATCATAGACTTTTTGAAATGTGAGTCTTTGACCATTTGTTGCATGGGGCAGTCCTCTCTGGTTGGATATAATAGTACCAGCATAAGAATGGGAGGTGGGCCTCAAGATAGGAACATGAAGACCTTAAGACCCGTGGGGAGGTAGCCCAGGGTTGGTGAAGGGAGGGAAGCAGTCCACATACAGTTCTGACATCCAGGAACTCTGGGGAGCTCTGTGTCTCATGATCATCTGCTAGCTTGACAACCATAGGGAGGAATTATGCCAAGCCTGTGAGAGGTAAGAGCCCTGTTCCTATCAGTTACCTGGGGCAAAGCACCAGTTGGTTTGTAATCCTTAGGGTTTTGTGTGAATGTCAAAGTAAGTGCAAATTTATTGCTGGAAAACTTGTTCTCTCAGAATCCAGAATCCTCTTGAGATATCACTCTCTTTGTATAGGACAAGGCATAATAGAGTAGAAAGTACTCCGGATCAGGAATCAGAAGACTTGATTTCAAGTCTTGACACTGCTGCTTACTAATTGTCCTCCTTTAGTAAGATGTTGTAGAAGTAAATTAGAAATTGGTAGGTGACTAGAGAAGAAGGTGAAGGAAAGGGTTGAACTGAACCCTTGCTTGGTAAGGAAAAAGTGCAGCAGTTTTTCTTGGGCATAGGACCCTCACCTTTTGCTGTTGTTCAATGTTTTTTTACAATCATGTCCAACTTTTCATGACACCGTTGGGGATACTGAAATGGTTTCCCATTTCCTTCTCCAGCTCATTTTACAGATGAGGAAACTGAGGTAAACAGGATTAAATGACTTGCCCAGGGTCACATAGATAGTAAGTGTCTGAGGCCATATTTGAACTCATGAAGATGAGTCTTCCTGACTCCAGGCTCAGTACTCTATCTACTACACCTTTTAATCTTAATGAAATTGATGCACTTAACCTTAATCTATCTTGCCAGGGCTTTACTCACCTTCCCAACTTTTTCTCAATTTCCCTCTCTTAAAGGCAGCCAGGTGGCACAGTAGGTAGGTTTCTGGGCCTGTAATCAGGAAAACCAAAGTGCAAATCCAACCCTCAGACACATTAACTCTAGACAAGTCACTTAACTACTCTTGCCTCAGTTTCCTCATCAGTAAAATGATGATAATAATAGCATCTACCTCCCAAAGTTATTGTGAGAATCAAATGAGATCATATTTATAAAGCACAGTGCCTGGTACCTAGTAGCTGCTTTATAGGTGCTTCCTCCTTCCTGGAGCATGTCACTTTCTCTCTTTGGGTCTTCCCATGACGGTAAAGTTGGAGACCATCCAGCCTCTGGCTGCCTCCTCCACTTTATGTTTCTTTCCTTGCACATAGATGCTGGAACAGAGATCCTCAGAGATAGGCTTTTTGCAAGTGGTCCAGGAGCTCCTGAATTCCTCAGTTGATTGCAATTATACTTTTGGAAGATTCTTCTGTTGCTATGTTTTTTGGAGAAGATGATCACTGGCAGAAAGATGAGCCCAACCTCTGGCCTGGCTTGACAAAAGACATTTACCTGGATAGAGTTGTTTGTACAAAACAGCTCCATGGTGAAGGTAAAATGTCAATTAAATTGTTTCACCAAATGTCTCCAAGTTTGGATTTTTTGAAGTGTAACATATACACTTTGTGTATATGTTTGCATATAAGTGTAACATATATGCTATTCTTTCAGGACCAGGACTGCTATATTGTCACAAAGTACCATTCAAGGTACTCTCAGAGGTTTGTGGGGTATTTTTTTTTTGGCAAGGCAATCAAGGTTAAATGATTTCTCCAGGGTCACACAGATAGCAAGTGCCAAGTGTCTAAAGCCAGATTTGAACTCAGGTCCACCTGACTCCAGTGCCAATTCTCTACCTATCCACTAGCGCCCCAGTTTGTGGGGTATTTTTACTGCCATTTGTTTAGCTCCCCCCACTAGCTGTGTTCCTCACATTTGTTAGGGCCCACATTTGACTAGTGGCCCAGTTCCATTTAGTCATTTAACTCTGGGTAGCTTTTACAAAGGGATGTTTATTTCAAAGATTTAGTAAAAACAAGGTATAAACATTTCTCCTTCCAAAGGGACATACTCTCCCCTACATTACCATGGACTCTGGGGAGAATAGGCTTAACTTAGTTGAGTTGTCACATAGTATCAAAACCAACAGACTCACTTCCAGAGGTGGCATCACTGTCAGATGAGTGAGATCTTGTTTCAGCTACAGTGGGCTAGGGTCCTGTAGGTGAGTCCTTGTCTCTTAAGGCATTGATGCTGACCTGGCTATAAACCTGCACTCTGTAAAGGTGCAACGTCAAGGAGTCCTCTGGACCTTCTGAACTCAGAAGGGCATGGGCTTCACTCCCTTCACTGGTCACTGAGCTCTCCTAAGAGCACTGAGGTCAACTGATGGGCCTTTTAGAAAGACTCCACAATCAATCAAAGAGCCTCCTTTACATCATGTGGTTAGATATAGATCAGGACAACTGGAGATGGCCCAGGGTGCAGTGGGCGACCTTGGCCTTTTCAAGCTAGGTCTTTAACAGGTCTTAGTTTTACAGAGGCAGTACTAACTCAGTGATTAAGGCTTTTAAAAATGAGGCAAAAAAAATGGTCTCTTAAAAAAAAAATAGATCTGGGATGGGAAGACCCTCAGGATTTCTGACCAAAAAAAAGAAGAAAGATGAGGCAAGGAAGATTGTGAGTTACCCAGGGTCACACAGCTAGTTAGTGTCTCATGTGACATTTGATTCCAGGCCTGCTGCTCTATCCATTGTGCCACCTAAAGGCAACATGGCTTCCTTCCTTCCATCTTTCCTTCCTTCCTTCCTTCCTTCCTTCCTTCCTTCTTTCCTTCCTTCCTTTTTTCCCTGCCTTCCCTTCTTTCCCTTCCTTCCTTTCTTTTCTTTCTTCCCTCTCCACATAGGGTATCACACCCTTACCTGACTGTGCTCTGCCTGAAAGGGAATATAAATTTTAATCTCTGAAACTTCTTTTTCTCTTAAAGACCAGCCTTAACCCCAAAACACTCTTGTCCCAGACCAAGCCCTACTTGGGCACTGTTTGGGCCCCAATTGACTCAGAATGAATGTAAATAACAATTATTTCTGTTTTGACCAGAAACCCTGAAGGACTTACCTTCCCAGATCTATTTTTTTGTATTTATTTAGTATTTAATTTTTCCCCAGTGTAAAAGCAATTTTTAACATTTGTTGTTAAAACTTTGAGTTCCCAATTCTCTCCCTTGCTCCCTCTCCCCACCATTGAAAAGCAAGCAATTCGATATGTTATACAAATGTAGTCATGCAAAACATTTCCATAATAGTCATGTTGTGAAAGAAAACATAACAAAAACTCAAGAAAAATAAAGAAAGTGAAAAAAAGTATGCTTCAGTCTGTATTCAAACACCATCAGCTCTTTCTCTGGGGATGGATAGCATGTTTCATCATAAGTCCTTCAGAGTTGTCTTGCATCATTGTATTGTGAGAATAGCTAAGTCATTCACAGCTGATCATCCTACAATATTGCTGCTACTGTGTACCCAGTTTCTTTCACTTTGTATCAACCCAAAGTCTTTCCAGATGTTTCTGAGGGTGTCCTGCTCATCATTTATTATAGCACTAAAGTATTCCATCATAATTACATACTACAACTTGTTCAGCCATTCCCCAATTGATGGGCATCCCCTCAATTTCTCATTCTTTACCCCCAGAAAAGAGCTGCTATAAATATTTTTGTACATATGGGTTCTTTTCTTTTTTGTTTTTTTATCTCTTTTGTGATACAGACCTAGTAGTGATATTGCTAGATCAAAGGGTATGCATGGCTTTATAGCCCTCTGGGCATAACTACACATTGGTCTATAGAGTGGTTGAATCAGTTCACAACTCCACCAACAATGCATCAATGTTCCAATTTTCCCACATCTTCTCCAACATTTATCATTTTCCTGTTCTGTCATATTAGCCAATCTGATAGGTGTGATGTGGTACCTGAGAGTTGCTTTAATTTGCATTTCTCTAATCAATAGTGATTTAGAGCCTTTTTTCATATGACTATAGACAGCTTTAATTTCTTCATCTGAAAACTGATTATACCTTTGGATCATTTGTCAATTGAGAAATGGCTCTTTTTTATAAATTTGACACAGTTCTCTATATGTTACAGAAATGAGGCCTTTATCAGGGAAACTTGCTTCAATTTTTTTTTCCCCAATTACTATGGCTAACTGTATTTCCCTCCATCTTATCCCCCCTACCCTCACTTATTCTATTTTCTCTCTTCTTTCACCCTGTCCCTCTTCAAAAGTATGTTGCTTCTGACTACCCTTTCTCCCAGTCTGCCCTTCCTTCTATCACCACCACCCCCTTCTCTTATCCCCTTCCCCTTCTACTTTCCTGTGAGGTAAGAGAGATATTTATACTCCATTGCCTGTGTATGTTATTCCCCCTTTGAGCCAATTCTGATGAGAGTAAGGTTCACTCACTCCCCCTTACCTCCCCCCTCTTGCCCTCCACTGTAATTTACCCCCATTCTACCCTCCCATTCTCTTTCTCCTAGTACATTTCTCTCTCACCCCTTAATTTTATTTTTAGATATCACCCCTTCATATTCAACTCACACCTATGCCCTCTGTCTATATATACTCCTTATAACTGCCCTAATAATGAGTTCTTATGAGTTACAAATATCATCTTTCCATGTAGGAATGTAAACATGTAAGTTTAACTTTATTAAGTCCATTATGATTTCCCTTTCCTGTTTACTTTTTTATGCTTCTCTTGAGTGTTGTATTTGAAAGTCAAATTTTCTATTCAGCTCTGGTCTTTTTATCAAGAATGCTTGAAAGTTCTCTATCTCACTGAATGACCACTTTCCCCCCTAAAGGATTATACTCAATTTTGCTGAGTAGGTGATTCTTGGTTTTAATTCTAGCTCTTTTGCTCTCTGGAATATCATATTCCAAGCCTTCTGATTCTTTAAAGTAGAAGCTGCTACATCTTGTGTTATCCTGACTGTGGCTTCACAGTACTTGAATTGTTTCTTTCTGACTGCTTGCAATATTTTCTCTTTGACCTGGGAACTCTGGAATTTGGCTATAATATTCCTGGCAGTTTTCATTGTGAGATCTCTTTCAGAAAGTGATCAGTGTATTCTTTCAATTTCTCTTTTACCCTCTGGTTCTAGAATAGCAGGGAAGTTTTCCCCGATAATTTCTTAAAAGATAATGTCTAGATTCTTTTTTTGATCATGGCTTTCAGGTAGTCCAATAATTTTCAAATTATCTCTCCTGGATATATTTTCCAGCTCAGTTGTTTTTTCCAGTGTGATATTTCACATTGTCTTCTATTTTTTCATTCTTTTGGCTTTCTTTTATTGCTTCTTGGTTTCTCATAAAGTCATTAGTTTCTATTTGCTCCACTCTAATTTTTAAGCAATTATTTTCTTCAGTGAGCTTTGGCCTTCTCCACTTTGCCAATTCTGCTTTTTAAGGTATTCTCCTCATCAACTTTTTGGACCTCTTTTACCATTTGGCCTAGTCTGGTTTTTTTGTTTGTTTGTTTGTTTTTTGGTTTTGTGTTTTGTTTTGTTTTGTGAGGCAATTGGGGTTAAGTGACTTGCCCAGGGTTACACAGCTGGTGAGTGTCAAGTGTCTGAGGCCAGATTTGAACTCAGGTCCTTCTGATTCCAGAGCCAGTGTTCTATCTACTTCACCATCTAGTTGTCCCTCTGTTTTTTAAGGTGTTATTTTCTTCAGTATTTTTTTATGTCTCCTTCACCAAGCTGTAGGCTCTTTTCTCATGATTTTCTTGTATCACTCTTATTTCTCTTCCCAATCTTTCCTCTACCTCTCTTACTTGATTCTCAAAATCCTTTTTCAGCTCTTCCATAGCCTGAGACCAATTCATATTATTCTTGGAGGCTTTGGATGTAGGAGCTTTGACTTTGCTATCTTCTTCTGAGTGTGTGTTTTGATCTTCCTTGTCACCATAATCACATTCTGTAGTCAGAGTTTTTTTTCCCCATTGTTTGCTCATTTTCCCAGATTATTAGTTGACTTTTAACACTTTGTTAAAATGGTTCTCTGCTTCCAGGGTGGAGGGAGCACTGTCCCAAGCTTCAGGGGTTTTGTGCAACTGTTTTCAGAGATACTTCTAGGGACCTGTAAGTTTTGAGTTCTTCCAAGATGGTCTGATCTAAAGAGAGGTGTTTTCTACTCTTTTGGCCTGTGGTCTGGTCTGTAAGTGATCACAAGCACTCTTTTATGCCCTGGAGCTATGAGGAGGATCCTCCCTCCACTGTGGCTGCAAGTTCTGCTATGCTAGTGCTCCTCCTCACCCTGGTATTACCACCCAGGACTGGGACCCGAATCCAAGAGTGGGCAAAGAACAGAGTCCTGCCTCAGTGCTAGCAAAGAGACCTCTGTAATCTCCTTCTGACTAGTTATTTGACCCTCTTTACATTCTGTGGGCTGAGAGCCCCAAAAGCAGCCACTGCTACCACCACTGCTAATTCAATCACTCCCAAGGCCTGCTGGGGCCAGGCTGTGCTGGAGGGTCCTGTGCTGGACT